CTGAGGAACTTCCAGATAGTTGTGATTCTGTGGTTACATTGAGAACTGATATGCCAGTAATGGTTGAAATTAAATCGATGGCAGGAGGTGCTTTAGTTACCGCTATTGTTTGCTGAAAGATTAAATTATTTATGTTAACCGCATAATGGTTATATTAATGGTACTATATTAACCATTATGCGGTCACTATGTTAATTTTATTAAGCTCTTTTTATTAATACAATCAGTACCCTAGTACGTTAAAACCACAAGTGACCATATGTTAAAAATTCTTTGAAAGTCTATTAATTTTTGACTACATAGAACAAATTATGTATTTATTATGTTAAATTTTATATCTCCCATATATAAACAAAAACATAAAAATCATTTCTTGCAGACAATTTACAGTCCATTTTTTTAGTAGACTTACAAAGTGCCTCTGTGGCCGAACGGTTACCATGCTATATGTGTGTGGTTATATGTATCGCCTACATTTATTTCTCTCATGAGTTTGGGTGTAATTTGTGGTTGTCTATGTGTGTGTTCATGGCACCCGCTACACAGGGTTTCCCTAATGCGGGGCTTCAAAAAAAAACTATCTATTCTACTATTAGTACAAAAGTTACAAATAAAAACAAAGAAAATAAAATTAATGAACGAAATGAATGAAATGACTACATGGTACCTGCTAAGTTCACCTAGGTCCCTGAACGTGAAGTTCGGTGAACATAGCAAGCAGATCGGAGTCCCACCTATCATTTGAAGATATGATATCTATGTAAGCTTAAAAAATGTCGTATAATTTCCATCGAAGCATCTCTAAAGAGAGGCTTAAAGATTATACGAATGAAATTAGTCGGTTTTTGTAATTAGCCTTCAAATAATAAAAACATAAAAACACAGACTAAGGCTCAATTTACATTACCGCGGAAGGAAATGAAAGCTAATTCTCAAACATGCTCGAGAGTGTTTGCATTACTTTCAAAAAACGAACACGGAAAGTTTGTCATTTATGGACCGTGCGATTTCTTCCCGGCCAAGGCCTGCAAAGTACCTATGTATGAAAATCCATTACTATCCACTCTCTCTTTTCTCTAAAATTTTTACATCTACCTACTAATAATGAACTATGTAAACAGGCAAAAGAGAAACTCACACAGCCAACTGCCAAGTGTTTTCTATTTGGCCTTTTTTCTATTGTTGTCTCGAAAACAAGTTCTAGTGAGAAGAGCAATAACGAAAATGCCTGCAAGTACTATGTCAAATATTCCTTTTTAAGTTTTTGTATTATATATCTTCTCTATAATCTTCTATTATTTCCTCACATTGCTTAAGAAAATCACTACACATGGTCGTCCAGCAATCCCTTACTGGGAAGTAAGGGACCTCTGCAATAATGTAGGTACTATAAGTCAATTGTGCAACGTACAAACTAGATACGAGTCAGAAAATAGTTCGCGCGTCTTTCGTCGGAAACACCCGCAACTAGTTTGTAAGTTACGCAATAGCCGTAAATGAGAGTTCTTAGCCTTAGAACGTAGATTCTTTTCAAATCACTTAAAACGCAACTCCCATTTTACTAGTGTATACTTGAAATGGAGTACTGAACATCATCGTATAAACTAGCGAGTTTACCTGTTTGGTAATATTTTCCGCCACCATCGCATCTCCAATTTTGTATCTTGGATTGTAGAGGGAAAGTACACTCGCAACAAAACTCACATTCGGCTGAAATGTATAGTTGTTAAAAATTAACACACAAATTAAGGGGAAACCAGTGCCTTTAACAACAAAATACTTACTTACCAAATTCATAAATATTAGGAATGTGCCCGAAACCCAAGCCACAAGTATCATTAAAAAATAATTTATACAAATGGAAAACGCATGAAAATTAAAAACAGTCAAATAGAACGCTTAATCTCAAACGCAATTATTAATTTTTGTAAGTGTGAAATTTGCTAATGAATTGTTAGTTTTTCATTAAAATTTCATTAATTAAATGAGTGTGCAAGAAAAAAGGTGCAAACATTAAAAAACACCAGCTAAATCAAATAGGTGTAGTCGCTTTAGTCGAAGATTTGTATCTGTTGTGCGCTGCAGTGACGCGACCGCTTCAACTAACTAAGTTCAAGTAACTTTTAATTCATTAATCGTGACTGCAAAAGTATCACGACAGTGAGTAGAGAGGTCAGGGTAGACTACGGGCTTCCCGGTAAGACCCGGGTACGGCGGGCTTCTCTGATGGACCCGGACTTGGGTATGGACTCGCTGGGGTTATATATATCGTCGCTTTGATTACGGGAGAGAGTTCCACAATCTGATCGCAGAAACGGTAAAAGAGTTAGAATAAAAGTTAGAGGTATGATCAGAGGAGCGAAGGGGACGGCAAAGTGTAGAAAAGTGGCAAGTAAAGCGATCTTTAAGATAAGAAGGCGTAAAGGAACAGAATAGAATCGAGTAAAAAAGGGAAAGGATATAAAGATCTCTACGCCGGTGGATGGGCAGCCATTTAAGTTGTACGCGAAATTGAGAGACATGATAAAATTTACGAAGTCCGAAGATATACCTAACGCACATATTTTGGAGCCGTTCCAATTTATTGAGCACAGTAACTAACAAATTCAAATAGCAAACATCTGCATAGTCGAGTTTCGGATGGAGAAGGCTCTGGGCCAGAATAATTTTAAATTTAGTCGGAAAAAAGTTTTTAAGCCTTCTCAGAGAAAAATGCGCGCCAAACACCTTCTTGCTAACCTCAGCAGCGCGCGGCTTCCAAGTCAGGCATTTATCATAAATTACCCCCAAATTCCTGACTGTGTCCAAATCAAGAATATCGACACCACCGAAAACCACAGCGGGAAAGAAGTCTAGATTTTTAGACTGAACTAAATGCTACCTATAATAATGGATTGTGTTTTGGATGGGTTAACTTAAAGGCCAAAAGACTGACTCCATTGACGAATGGATTCAAGGTTCACATTGGTAATATTAATGGCACATGGTACGTCTTGAATGGACGACTGGGTGTAAAACTGGATGTCATCAGCTTACAGATGATAGGAAGTAGTGAGGGATTGTGTGATAGAGTTAATAAACAAAGGAAGTAAGAGAGGGGAAAGGAGGCCACTCTGCGGAACTCCGGCGGCAATATCATACCAAAATGTCGAATTTGACTACCTATTCATGTTACACCATGGAATGCGTAATACAGATAATCAGAAATTCGATTCATTATACTAAATCACTTTTGTTTAACGGTTACCTCCATGGATGTAACCGTTAAACAAAAGTAGTAGTAATGTAGTGTTTACATGGATGTTATGAAAGCACGAAATGAATACCGATCGAATTTTATTATATTAAATACGTCATAAGTGCTGAGTACTCAAGCCTATAATGCAAAATCACCAAAACGAATTGTCAGCAGAAGTCGACACTCCTAGTTTAAGCTCCCCTCTAAGGGAATGGTTCCGCTGGAGTACAACCTCGTCCTTTAGAGCGGCAGCCTCTAAAGGATTACCATGACGTTGTCCAACCTCCGATGGAAGCAAACCCCAAAAAGAAGTTTATACAAAATTACATGCAACTGTAAAAACGAGACTAATAATAACAGCTGATATTTACACAATAACTACAATTTGTAAAGTATTCAAAATATATTACCGCAAATGCAAATTGAAAAAAGTGACAGACAATTTTGAACTTCTACATATTGCTTACTTAATACTTACAGAATACATAATGGTTACTACGTAACCGATCACTCTCCTACAAATTCGAAAATACTTACGCTATAATAGCCTACCAAATCTGGCTAATGACACCAGGCGCTCACTACGAAGAAAAAGGAACCTAAGCACACACGCAGGAAAATAACGTTGCCCGCCGTGTGCAGTTGTGAGGAGCCGAATGTTCATAAATGAAAGGTTTGTGTGAGCGCTTGCGTCGACATCGGCACTCACGAGTAACGGAGCCCTGATATTGCGAGGAAGACTTAGGCTCTTTGGCTATAACACAAATAATTTATATTATGAAACCTAAAATATTGCCATAAATAGTAAAATATGTCGCACCCCTCATGAAAGAATGGCATAAGTGAAGTTACGTCAAACATATTTATTGCTCCATTAGACACAGAAAGATATAACCCACATCCTCTCCAATTCTTGTAACTCTATCTACAATATTAGTCGATAAAGTTACAAGATTTGGAGATGATGTAGATTATATTTTTCTGTATCTAATGATCCAATAAATGTTTTTCACGTAACTCCACTTATGCCATTCTATAATAAGGGGTGCGATGAATTGAATAATTAAAACTTCTACCCACACAGATTTCAAAAATGTATTAGCAGCTTTTCAAAGGCATTGAATTGCCTACGACCGATCTATCTCACAGACCATGCTGGTCTACCACGCAAAGGGTCCCGGGTTTGATTCCCGGGCCAGGGGAAATATTTGTATGGCCTACATTTATTTCTCTAGTGAGTTTAGGTGTAATTTGTGGTGTTCTATGTGTGTATCCATGGCACCCGCGACTAAGTGTTTACATAGTGCGGGGCTATGAGTATGTGCGTTATTTATTTATTATTTGTTATAGAAGCGCTACATAACTACAGTTTTAATAATCTCAGTACAGAGTACTAAAAAAACCGACCTCAAAAGTACGTAGAATCACATCTATTTGCCAAGTTTTATTGAAATCGGTTACCGGAAAGTGCGCAAACGCGGATTCATCCCGTCGTTCGCCACTATACGGAACTTGATACAGGAGATAATTAAAATCGGTTCTCACTACTCAAAGTATATTGAGAGAAAAACGCCTTGAATTGGAGAATAGCAAAGTCAACCATTAAAATAATTACTCCTTATAATAAAATTTAGGCTCTATTTATAGAAATGAATCTTCATGCGTGAACAGCCACCCTTGGAGGTGAATTATTTTCTTTAAAATTAAACGGGACCACTATGAAGGTACCCTCTTTCCAACAAAAAAAAAGAATCATCAAAATCGGTTCACAAATGGCGAAGTTATCGCGTAACATACATACATAAAAAAGACATACAGTCGAATTAAGCACCTTCTCCTTTTTTTGAAGTCGGTTAAAAATAAAGTACTATCAATAAATTACTACCGTTCGATTAGAACTCGGGCTGTAATGGTGGAAGGCGTATTATCTGATATTAGAAAAATAGCTAAAGGTGTTCCTCCAGGATCAGTAATAGAACCTTTCTTACTCCTATAACGCTTTGCCACATTACTATAAGGTTATACGTAAATCTCTTTGTAGATGATACTCATATAGGGTTATCAGCCACATGTGAAGTACATATGCTAAAACGACAAAAGATTATAGTTACTTCTAAAACATAATCATTAATACAATAAAAATCGTACCCACATAACACTAAACAAAGTTGCGAAAAGAAGAATGACACTAAATCTTTATTTCATTCCATATTTATTCAAAATGAAATTATTATCAACAGACAATATTCTAATGGATGTGTATTATGCTCATATCTAATTTGAACTAAACCTAAGTTTATTTTGTGCCATCAATATTCTTATTTTTTTCTACAGCTCCTAATGTAAGGCTTTAGTGAAAAATACATTTCTCTTATTTGTCTTCTCTGCCTAATTTGTGTTCATATTCTACTCATGATTTATGGGCTATGAATACGCCATCTACCCATGTCATAGTCTCTTTATTTACTTATTACGTTGTCTTCCTACTTGTCTTCTTCTTAATCTATTTCTCTTCAATTTTATCTTCGTCTTTACCTTCTTCGTGATATTCTTCTTGTTCGTTCTCTTTTTTTATAATCTACTTTATCTTCGTTTTTGCCTTCTACTTTATCTTCGTCGTTATCTTCTTCTTTACCTTCGTCTTTATCTTTTTCTTTATTTTCATCTTTGTCATCTTCGTTGTTGTATTCGTTGTCCTCTAAATTGTATTTTTATTTGCCCTCTTCATTGTCTTCCTCTTTATGCTCTTGCTTTTTGATCTTATTTTATTCTAATAATGGACTTTAATTTGCGCCAGTTATATTTCATCATTGTCTTTTTCAACTCGAAACCTGAGCTTTCGTTTATGCCATTTAACTATTTGATTTTCAACTTTTTTGTGATCTTCTTTATTGTTTTCTTCTTCTTCTGCCCTAAACCTGAGTATTTGACGTTTCCACCATCTATCTTCTGCGTACTCTTTTAATTTTGCCCTGGGGATTAGAGTAGGTAGAGCTGTAGTTATCCTTTTAAAAAAATCCTTATCATTAGGCTTATGAAAACTAATACTGCATCTAGCTTCACATAAGCTCATATACTTGTCGTAACTTTCTGGGGTACATTTTGTGACTTCAGAACAAATGTTTCTAAAAAATGCATAACACGTAGTTTTACAACGTTTGTAGCCTAAGTATTTACAGAACCTGCCATAGCGGTTGGCATAAAACACATTTCGGTTTTTGGCATAAAACTCATGTCTGTTTCTAGTTCTCGTAGAAGTTGTGTCATAAATATATATATATGTGTTTTTCCGATGTCGATGCCTTCTAGCGTCCACGATTGTTTGTTGTATTTCTGGTTCTATTGTATTTTTATCCAGGAATAAATTTGATTTCATACCTTTTTTATAGTTTGGATAACTTTCAACGTACATTGGTTCGGTTATTTTAAGATTGGTTATTGGGGACATTTTTGTTTCAATCTCTGGAAAATAATAATAATCTGAGGACTTATTAAAACGTGTTTGTTCTATCGTTTCAATATTGGTTGTCTGGGACATTTCTGTTTCAAGTTCTGGAAAATGATAATAATCTACGTCATTATTAACATGCATTCGTTGTGTAGTTGTAATATTGGTTATCTGTGATAATTTTATTTCAGGTTCTGGATAAAAATAATAATAACTTGAAGAATTCTTAACAAGCATTCGTTGTGTTGGTTTAATGTTGGCTGTCTGGGACATTTCTGTTGCAATTTCTGGATAATGATAGTAATCCGAAGAATTATTAAAATTTATTCCTTCTGTTACTTTAACATTGGTTACTTGTGAAACCTTTGTGTCAGGTTCTGCATAATAATAGTAACCTGACGAATAATTAATATGCATTTGTTCCGTTATTTTAATATCTGAAATATATAAAATATTAATTTATTAAATCACAATCAATTATTTAAAGAAAATTACTTTTAAACAATGATATCTATGTACTAGCGATAGCGTTCGTAGCGTACTAGATGCGGCGTTCCGTACAAACGCTGTGTTTCACTGATATGCGGTGAAGACGGTGCACAACTGTACATCCTTCTTGAACCGTACAGTACTTCGGTACCATTACTTTTCTGTATGTACGTCTGGCGCACACTCAGCACCAATCGGCGGGTGTCTTACGCCGATGGGCAAATCTTTGACCACGATGGCAAGCATAACTGTAGCGAATCGCAGCAGTCGCTACAAATCTCTTTTGTATATAAATATTTTATAATCTCTTTAAGTTTTAGTTTTATATTTAAATTCTAAATTTAAATGTGATTGTTTTTGGCGCCTTTTCTTGTCCGTTTTTGTTTGCTGTTTTGCTTTTACAGCTACATACGTGTTTTATAACACAAATTAATAAAATGCAAGTACGTGTGCTTGGCTTTTCTCACTCGTTTAGCACCCACCCTGTAACCCATTGGATACAGTCGGCTACAATAATAGTATTTGCAATCGATACGATAAGAAGAAGTGGTCGGATAGTCGAATGCGTGTTTCCGTATCATTCAGTTACTTGTTAAAATGGAATGCGCTTTTACATTTGCATCGAAAAAATCCCGCGACGTCAGTTAACGCAAGTTAACGAAATTGTATACTTATAAAATCAAGCATGCATTCATTGCGCGCATTTGACCACCATCTCACCTGATGGAAAGTGACGATGATGGACCATGCACACCCAAATAATGCCTATTCATTCTCGCTTTGAAAATGCCCAAGTTATAACGTTTAGGGAACCAGTCTGCGGACAGGGAATTCCAATCAATAGCGGTTGGCTATATAAATGTAATGCGTAATGCTTCGTGCGAATCTTTGGACCCCTTCTCAGCACTTATCATATACTGGTAGACTAGATAATGAATTTACATCGCAGACTTTTGTGTAGGACTTTTTAAAACCTACAATTTTCTAGAGCATTGATTTTATATATCTGTTAGTTTACGGGGCGCACGCCAGTAAAGCGCCCAGCCGGCATGATTTTTGCCGACATCTTCAACATTTACCGTCATATTTCAGCCAACTTACACAAAACCTAAATAAATTATAAACCTAAACCTTTCTCATGAATCACTCTTTCGATTGGTGGAAACCGCATGAATATCCGTTCAGTAGTTTCAGCGATTAGACAGGCAGACAGGCACGGTAGTGATCCCAACTAGCAAATTAATCTTATAACGTTAGGGCTTTATGGCTACAAATCTTGTAATTGGTTTATAAAAGCATTCATTATTGCAATGTACCTTATAATAGCTCTTTATAAGACGTTTTAGCTTACACAGCTTTTGTTCTTATAATTTTACAAGTATAAACGTTATTAAACCCGAATAATATGACTACAATACAGCCTCAGAATGTGTTCTTAATTGTCATATAATATTTAAAGCTATATAAATGTCTTCGTAAAGAGTAATTATTCTTATAAAAGTAGTGGACAAGGTGAAAATAAGGCTATAAATCTTTTAAGAAACGTTGATATAGCAAACTTGTTAGCCATATAGTTTATATAAGAATTACTTGATATAAGCTCATAAACAGATATTCCTCAGCAGCGTTATAAAAAAATGGTTGACAGGATATTGTTTTATACGCATCACACACGAAGTAAATAATATCATTTTGTGAAATCGTTACACGCCGGCTAAAAGAATGAATATATTATTATATGTATATATTGTCTATATTAACGTATTCAGTTAATGCTTATACACGGAAATTACCCTTTTAAACGATGTCAATATGACAATAATATGTTTAGCATCCTTATAAATAGCTCAGATGTTGCCGGTATAAGGCTATTGCCCGTAAACACCTTTAATATGGCAAGTACAAGTAAAATATACTTGTTGCCAACGATATTAAAACTTGTATAAGAATTATCTTGCATGTAATAAACCAACAATATGACATGTATAAGGTTTAAGCACTCAGAATTTGTGCCCAAATCCACCCTTATAATCGATAATATGGCTATTATAAGAACACATTTTTAGGCCTATCCTATCCTTTAACCTATATATATATATGACAAGTTTTTGCTAGTTGGGATGTAGTAATACACATTACATTATAGATATGTGACATGTCTATATTTTATACATAAAATATACGAAAGTAATTTAGGTAGATTATTGTTATATGATGCGGTGCGGCCCGCCATAATGTGCGTGAGCCTTTAGAATATTTAGGTACTTTTGAGTTACTATTTCTTATTATCATCAGTGAATTTTTTGTCACGATTTGCCGCCCTAGGCCCGGGCCTACTGGGCCTTAGGGCAAATCCGCCACTGGCCGCACGCCATTCAATGATATGTATTTTTCAAAGACTCACCGCACAAAATATGAACAAAATACAAATAATTACGCAGTACATAATGAAAATTCATTTCAGTTAACTTCACCAGTACAATTAATTCCTTTGATTGCACAACACCAGTCAAGCGACTATCGTGTTTTTGATTATTTTTATGGTATTGGTAGCTTTCTTTGCAATTACTTCGTTATGTAAGGGCAGGAAGTTGTGTCGACTGGGACACACTACGCCAATGCGCACACGTCACCGCGGCGTTTTATTCCTTTTGATAATTTTTCCGGCTTCAAAAAAAAAGGAGGAGGTTCTCAAATCGGTTGTATTTTTCTTTTTGTAGTTTGTTAATCGATAACTCCGGGCGGCTTTTGTTAACCGATTTCGATTTTTTTTTTTTGGTTGGAAAGAGAGAGTACCTCAGTATTGGTCTCATTTAAATTTGAAAAAAATATTTCACCTTTAAGTGTGGCAAACTAGAGGCTGAAGCAGGTTTCGTCGTTAGCAAACATATGTGATTCCACCAACTTTTTAGGTCGGTTTTTTTTTAAATAAAAAAGTTACAATTATTTACTAATAAAAGTAGAAATACAAAAATATCGGTGAATTCTATAATAATTTATTTATACACAACATATACAATATACTGTCTTAATACAATATTCAATTCACATTTATGGCGCACGGATGAGAAGTGGAATCTGACTGCAGACTTATTCCCTGAACGCTATAACTTGGGCCTTTTTAAAGCGAGATTGAATAGGCATTATTAAGTTGTGCATACTCCATCGTCAACCTCACTATCACTTTCAATAAGGTAAAATGGATGTCAAATGCGCATTTGTACATTATATAAACATAAGTTAAGCCTTTATGTTCAATGCCCACTTAGCTCTACCCAGGTGTTTCCAACGTCTTCCAGCTAGAAGTCACTTCGAGAGACCAAAAATGTTTCAGACCCCTTAATAAAGGCAAAAAGCAGTAAGTCATTGTGGAACCAAAATTGTTTATTCATGTTGTCATATAACA